AAATACGATGAGTATGAAATTGTATTTTCCCAAGCATTACCTTAAGACAGCGGTTTCATTCATTTTTGACATGTATCAACATTTCTTTTAAAGTTTTCAGAGTTTCAAGCGTTCGCAGCACTTACATACTTCTAGGCTTTAAACAAATTAAAGCAAATTGCGAGTGCTCACCAGACACACAGCCTTTTATTGAGTTCGTGTGAGGTACACTAGGGGAAATGGAAGTTTACTTTGTAAGCAATTTGGATCACTGCAATAATAAGCAACCAAGACTGAGATTTCCAACCAAGCTTAATGCAAGGCATTTGTGCTTACACACGCTTTGGTGGTTGCTCTCAAGGAGAGCTGCAAATACGTGCCACACATTTTTGCCCTCTTTTTGATCGAGAGTTAAGTTATCAATGCCATTCAATGTATTGAATTACTTCGTAGCGTTGTGGTCTTCTGGGAATAATTTTGGTATTGCGTCAACCGTTTGTTCCATGATTTATCTTCCCATCGAATAAACATTTTGTTAGCATCCATAAACACCATTCAGTAGATGGTAGTCATGTTAAAGCACCAACTCATGAATCTGGTATCCATAGTGAAGTGCAATAAAAAAGAGCTAAAACAGTTCTACTGAAGATACTATCTCTAAGTATTTGTAATAGAAGTGGAGTTGAGTCTTGAATGAAATTCAGAAGACACTTCAGAAGGCCAGTAAGTCCGGCTTAATGCCAATGTGCGCATGCAAAGATAAAACCAATTGTTACGTTTCAGTGGAGTGCCTCTACGCCCTTCCATGGTAGTGGCCCAGCGGTGCTATTTACTGGTGGCTGGATCTGAATGCAAAGTGAGACCGAGCTCACAAGGCTCCCATTGGTATCTAAAATTACTTATGTTAAAGTAAGCAAAATGTTCGAGATGGTATGTTACAGTAGCGTAAAGTACACTAAAATTACTTTGGCACTCACTTCTGCCTGCACATGAATGCAAACAACTGCAAAATCGTGGCAACAGAGGAAGGGAAAAAAGATTTATTTCACCATCGTTTTGTGTGGCCACTTGGCAAACATTAAAGACTCCGAGCCCTCCTAACGTTCCATAATGTGAAATACAACTTACTGACACGGGATTAGGAGTTGAGGCACAAAATACTACCTGAGGTCCTTTTTATATGAGGTCAACAAAGTGCACGCTAGCAATGCCTTTAATTTTTCGCACATTTTTGGCAAAAAAAAAAAAACGACATGCTGCTAAGTGCTCCCTCTGAGTGCGATACAAAACAGGAATTTATAATCAAAAGCAGAATTATTTTAAGAAGAAACTATCCAATCGGTTCTTTACATGTGCTACCGTAATAGAATGGCTAGTTTGTCACAAAGCAGGGCTTTAATGTATCCCATGATTTGTTTTCCCCAAAGGTGACGTGTTACTACTTTAATAAATGAGTGTAAGTTAAAATCAACTAACTCTGCCTCTGCCAAACATGTACTTTAGATGCAAGTATGATCTTCAAAGGTCACAGCCTCTGTTACATGAAGCGGTGAAGATGTTCAGAGCCCAAGAGTGCACTTAGTGCCTTAATATGGTTCGAAGAATCCGTGGCATGGCAAGAGATTCCTAAACCATTCTTCACTTTACATCTTGCTGCAAAAAAGTATCTGCCTGCCAAAGTTTAACGCAAAGGCAAATGGAACGCAAAAGTGCACTTAAGGAAAGCAGCTCAGGTTCCAGAAGAAGTCTCGACCTTTCGTTTATATACTTTTGTCATTGTGGCTGAAATGCTTTAATGTGAAATATTTCAAAGTATTTAGAACCTACTCAATATTATTGAATAGCGGTCAATTTATGGAGCAGCACCATTGATGCAAACTGAAGGGTACTTTAGGCTATGCAAAATGCCTTACGAAATGCAGACTCTATTAATTGTGCAAATATCAATCCAACTAATCTCACATAAAAGCAAATGTTCAATGCAAATTTCTCCTAAACGTTTATCCATTCTTAAACAGTTTCATCTCTATTCGGTTCCCGAGCCACGTATCTCCCATAGTTGAGTGCCAATTTCGCATGCACATGTCTTGAATCTGCTTCTACTTTAGTAGGTCGACTGCTTTTTTATGATACCTCGGCCTGCGGTCCGCAAAGAACTTCGTCTCTACGCTTTGCAGCACTTTGCTGATGGGGCTCTACAAGCTCACCTGTATGGCATTCTGCAGCCAGACAAGTCCCGATAGACGGTGGTGGAGGGTGGCATTTCTACCCGTATGACTGCGTACTTTGTTTCGCATTGCGAGGACTTACATAAGTGGTGTCATTACTGTGTGAAGTCCAGCATGCTAACAATATTGTCCAAAACTTACTTCTGTTTGAAACATGTAAAGTAACAGCAAATTATCTTGCGGAATACGACGCAATTATTAACCCCCAGGGTAAAGCCAACGTTCAAACGTCTTGTTTGCATTACTACTGCATGGAAGTTAAGCCAAAGTCATTTGGCTTCCACGTATATCTTGGTTAGATTAAGGTTGAGCATTTGATTTGATTAAACCCGTCCGTTGCACGCATTCCATTGCGTGTGTGCAACTTCAACATGGGCAAAAAACAGTACAATTCCGGCTTTTAAAATGCACCATCTAGCAGCGACTCTCATTGTACCCAGTTTTAACCATTGCAGACTACTAAAAAGTAATTTAATGTGATAATCAAACAGCCATGAGTGTCTAACTACAACAAGACTCACATTTCCTAGGAAGGTGATTATTACTGGGATCGGCTGGATGAATTGCATCCCAGAAGGTGGAACTGAAAGTGCACAAGTCGACATTCCAAGTAACGTCGTGAAGGGGCTGAGGCGCAAATAAATATGAATGGAGTGGAACCCAAAGCTTGGACCATTCAACTCGCCTTGATGGCCTAAAGTTTAAGAGTTAGTGTGTGTTTTATGCGTGAAGAATGTAGTTCGACTATTTAAAAACGAAATTTTTACAAAAGAGCGGCGGAATAGGAAGAATGACAGCAAATTAGGCTTGCAAAGTCATGCAAATTGATTGCTTTTAACATGTTTAAAAAATGCAGAATCAACTGACATCCTATGCTAATGCTGTTTCCACATGATGTAATCTTGTTACTGTAAGCTGCGAACAATTTACGCTCGGAAAAAATTGTGATTTGGCCATCACTTACGCGCGATAGACGACCTCCATGTTCCCTAGTCTATGATATAATAGCAGTTTCACGACAGCACCACAATTTCGGGCTAATACGCAAAGCTTTAGTATGCACAAATGTTCTACTGCTGAAAACTTAGCCTTACTCACACTCGGGAATGCCTATACTTAACGGTATAAGTCCATTCACAACATGGTACCAACACTCTGTCATTTCCTCGCTACTGCTTCACGGAATACAGGAGTTATCTTGTGCTATGCACCATTTTACATGCCACGAGAGCCGAAAAAACGATTTTATTGGCGACCGATATTAGGGCAGTTGATGAGTCTGATAGTTGAGCGATTTGATATCTGTACCTTAAGCACAAACAGACATGGATATCTGCGGTGGGACCGACTTAGCGTCTTGTCCCATCCACCAGGGACGTGGTGAGTTCGGAGGCGCTAGCGCCTCACTTCCGATCTGCCCTAATCAAACTGTAAAACCTTGCCTTACGCAGTGTCAGAACTCAAAATGTCTTCTGTTATCCGGTGATTCGATTGGTCCGCATTGAAAACTAATCCCATCCAATGATGTGTTTCATGATGTGCGATCTTCCATCCATCCATCCATCCATCCATCCATCTGTGACATTCTGTGCCTCAGACACACTAATATTAAAGAACGCAACAAACAAGTAGCCCTCATCGAAAATTTTATTCCGCTTGCTTTCTTGCTCATTGCATTACCAACTGCAAATAGCTGATTTCAGGCCCCTCGCCTACGTTGTCAATGAGCAGTTCCTGTGCAGCAGCATAAGCATTTCACTGTAAAAGAGGCAGAGGCAATAAAAGTAACAAGTCAATATTTATAAATTAAGAAGCTTGCATAGCTTAAAAGTAGAGAAGCACAAATCCTAACTGTTACTTAGTATACCTTTAAAAAATACCTAATTGGCATTAATGCGATGAAGGTGAAATTTTTTGTGCAATACTGATGCTCGTGACTGCCTCGCCACCCTTGCATGTGAAGACGAGAGAAATCGTAAAATACATCAGAGTATTGAAGGTATTACACATTGCCAACAAAGAAGCTCCTTGTGGAGCTGTCGTGGTCTCCGGTCATGTTGAGTGAGTAGCTATTAACAAAGAAGTGCATCGCGATTGGAGATGAGGCAAAATATTAAAGGTAAGACTAGGGTAAAATGAGTGCCATTAAACGAGTTCTAGAGACATTTTACTGAAGTTTATCTTTTTGCCAACTACCTGAAGCAAAGGATCCCAAAACGGAGCAATTAGTCAAGGTAAAATGTGCTCTAATCCAGTCCACAACGCGGGAACTGTGACGAAATAATAAGTGTGCTTCTTGTGGAACGATTTCTCTTAAAGTGATCAGAGGAATGCACAATATGTCGTGTACAATTGAGTGTGCGTCATGCTCAAAAGTTCAGTTAACTTTATTAACAAAATCACATTTTGTCATTTAGTTAAGAGACGCAGTCTTGAACCGCAGATACAGAGTGTCCTTAGCGTTCAAACTAGCCCGAACCAGAAACACGACCCTCATTCGGCTTCACATAAAGGTCTGCTAATGCAATCATGTTTGGGAGAAGGCCAGCGATCGCCTCACATCAAAGCCGCACGTCTTTGGTCCTTTGGTTGCATGCAACAAGGTGATTGGTAAAAAGATCCTTCTTCTGCTATAAGGACCAATGCCTCAAAAGAAGGAGGATGTCTTCATCACACGTTTTATTTTCATACTATTGACAAATCTCAGGTAACAGAGGAGAGACGTTTTAAAATATAAATACCTTTTCATTATCTACAGGTCAAATATGAGGGCTAAATGCATCTTTGTTGGTATCACCGTCGATTGAGATCCATTCGCAAAATCCTAAGGAAAGCTTGTTTAAACTGAGCATTGGCTAGAGCATAGCAGAAGGGATTGATGGGCGAGTTCATGTAGCACATCCAATAGGTAATGCTGTAGAGGTGATGGTTAACGCAGGTGTAAGTGGTTTGAGGGTCGTCGCAAAATCCCTTGATTAAAATAACAATGTGGTAGGGTGTCCAGCATAGTACGAAAGCCCCAAGAATTATAGAGATGGTTTTGAGGGCCTTTCTTGCTCGATTTGCTGTACGGCCACGCTCCATGGGGGCTTGCCTGGTGACACTCGTACTTGTGTCATGAACGCGATGAAAATAACTATTCAGAACATTCTTCTTTCCAACCCGAGATGGCTTTTTAGGCATACCTGTCACACGGCTGTCGGTAGTGTCGTTGCCTGAGTTCTGACTAATATCTGAGGCCCTTCGATATTTACTGCCTTGAGTGAGTTTGTGGTTTTTTTCCCGTTGTATTTGACTTTGAGTCTGCATCATAAGCCGATCTTGCCATATCTGAGCCACTCGCGCTGCAGTTGCTTTTGAAACTCGTCGCGTTACTTTATTCAATGGCAAAGGATGCGCATCGGTGAAAGGACATCGTTCAGACGCATTTCCTCTATCCTGCTGTCTACCAGCCTTGATGTTCTGATCTGAACTGGAATTACGTTTACCATCTTGGATTGATCGACATTCATAATTTGGCATAGTATATGCAAAATTATTTAAATTCTTGTTGAATTCTTGATCCCTTCCAAATGCTGCGGAGGGACCACAAGGACTGCTATTGTACGAGTGATGTGGAAACTCCTGCGAATATGCAAAACTGAGCTTCAGACTGCTCCCATCGCTACCACTACTGCAAGATGTTTCTAGATCAGAGAATACATGAACTGCGGGTGACGACGGAAAGCTGTGACAGTTTTTTTCAATAATTTTTGTTGTATCCATGATTTCTGGATCACTCAAATGTGGTGATCGTATATCAACAAATACAGTTTCCGCTATGGAAGTTGGCGATGCCTTTGATGAATAATTGCCTAGCGGATGCGATGTTGACTCAAAAAAGCAGTTATTTGCATAAACGGCATTTGCTTTCGCACCGGAGGGCAGACCTGGATTATCCATTGCTGATGAATTGTGGCGTGGCGATACGGGGCCACAGTATGGCATCATATCCTCCTTCTCGGTGCCTGTCTGAAAAGTCGTCGAAGTAAGTTTGGACTGCTTAGAATAATTTTGGACATTTGGTCCGGAGTCAAACTCTCCTGAAGTGACTCGAGCACCAGTCTCATTACTGCTTGCCAAATGATACGATTCACCAAATTCCATTTCTGTCTCATTTACTGTCGATCCGCCACTTTTGCAAGAAATGTTTTGGCTTGGCATGGTTAGCAAGTTTTTAACCTTTTCTATTTTCTTTTCCGACTTCTTTTGCAGGCGTAAGGCAACCATGTATATTCCAATGTAAAGACCAGTCATGACCGAGAGTGTTACCCAAAAGTAAGCGATTGTTAAAATTGTGTTAAACATAGGATTGCTTGAAAATTCTGCATAGCAGGTTCCACTCTTCCTAACATGGTTATGCTTGCTAAAATAAGGCCATCCAAGAATGGTTGTGAAGAATATGGTTGAGGGAAGAATCCAGGTGATCGCAATCATGACTAGAACTTTGTTAGCCGTTCGCCAATTGCGATATTTAGCCGGGATTTTGACAGAGAAGAACCTATCAAGAGTTATGAATAGGACAGTGTATTGACTGGTTAGACAAAGAGTGTAATCGAGCCCCAACCAAAGGTCACAAAGTAAACGACCCAAAGGCCAGTATCCCAGAAGTAGGTAAAGACTGTATAGATTCATTGAGAAAATTCCGATCAAAACATCCGTGACAGCCAAGGAAGCTATAAAGTAATTTGTGGGCATTCTTAATGTTCTTTCAACATAGAATGCGGCCAGCACCAGGATATTTCCTCCTATAGTTATGCTTGAGGCCACAATTGTCAAAATTACGATTACACCGACTGAAATTTTTCCATATGGTGCCTCTTTAGAAGACCTTCCTTCATTTGGTTGAGGAGCACTGGAAAGTGGCTGGGCAACTGGAATGCTAGTGGTTATTTCAAATCCCGGGGTGTTGAAGAGAGATTCAATAACTTTTCCACGCTGTTCCCGTTCCGTTTCTCGATATCGTAGGAGAAGGTCGGATGCATTCGAAATTTGATAAAAAACTTCATTTTCTTGAGACTCAGTGGAAGCAATTTTGATGTTTAAGGGCAATGTAGTCGAAACAACTGCCCTTCGCTCCTTAATCCAATTTAGATAAGCTATAGAAATGTCCGACGGAATCCATTCTTCGGATTCATGCTTGGGTGCCAAAGTTCCTTGGTTGGGACTTCCAATTATGGTATGTAATAGAACAATCAATGCACCAAGAACCTTGCTGGAATGCATGTGTTCATTTGATTGCCTACCACAAAAATGTAAATGAGAATAAGTGAGGCCCTTTAAGTTTACAGTTTACATTGGATGTGTGATTTGCTACGTCTTGATGCTCTGCAATTCCGTGTGAGAAATGTAAACATACCCATCTCTTTATACGTAGGAGTCAATTTTTTTTAATTCGCCATTGCTTCAATGGAAGTGAAGACTTTTTGCGAATGAAAGTCGAATCTCTATCACTGTCTCGAATGAGTAACCTCCCCTAAGTAATTATGGAAATATCGTGGATTCTGACGTACGCATTCGCTGAATTGAGGTATTCTTGATGCAGTAAGATTATATCATATGTGATACGGTAAGTGTGGTGAAGGCTGTTTATAAAATATCACTTTTTAATGTTGTTTATTCAAGCCAATTGTTTAATATCCTTCTCGGTTTTTCTTTTAGGCTGGAGCTGTTAGTGTGTGACGGAGATGATCGCAAGATTAAAAGTCGCCTGTGATTAACTGACAATAGCCAAAGCAAGCTCTTAATAACAAGGGACATGGCCTTAATAGAGTGCCAATTTTCTCTCTGTGATCTTACTCGACGGCGGCCTTTTTCTAGCGTCTCGAAAGCACTGAGGAGCACATATGAGCCCCTTGCCAGGCACATCGGAGTTGCCTGCTAAAGTAAGCCGGAAAATGACTTTGCATCCACAAGGCTGTAGCAAGTAAGCAGCCATCTTGCTCTTCTTTAGTTTTATTTTGATCAAAGTCACTGCGAATTTCCGACAACACGCTTTCCAGAACTACGTAAAAAAATAACACTTAGTTTACTCATAAATAATCGTGCTTCGGGTCTAGAAATGTTAAAACGGAACCGAAAATTCCCTTGTGTGAACTTTTGCTAAAAAAATTCCAATGCTTTATCTTTAAATCTGCACATGTTTTAGCCTTTAAAGAATGTCAAAAAAAATGTGTGAATGAGTTGTAAACATGCATCTAGGAATGGACTGTTGCACAGCCAATCGCTGAAAGCAACTGCCACTCGTGGTTTGGCGCAACCAGCGAACGAATGAATCAGCCTACGACGATCTACCTCACAACCTCTTTCCCCTCAAGTTTTGTGGAAACACAACGGGAATTATATGATGTGCTGTAAAAGATTTTTGCAACTCGAGGTCAAAAGTGATTAAGCACTAACGCCATTGAGTAAAACATGTGCTATAGTGATTTTGAACCTTTCTAGGTCTACTTACTTCAAGTATGCATAATTCAATTTTTTAGGATGGCACAACATTTTGCGAACCACCTCAAAATTCAATTATTCTTGTTGCCAATAACCTCACATTTGTTTTCACTCTCGTCCACATTCCTTCCTGGCACTGAGCAACACCGCATAAATGTCTCAAAAAACACGTCCAAAAGATGGGATGGGTTAAATCGTTTAAAGCCACATGCGCAGCGTAAATACTACTAGCCTAATCAAAACCTTTGTTAGGTAAAGTTGTTATGTTACAATGGATACCTTTCAGGCCGACGAACGAATGCCAAGAATCAGAATCAGTATTTATGTATGCCATGAATCAAGCACCTAGGACATCTCCTTCCAGTTCATTAGAACGCAAACTTTAACGCACTTTTCAAGCACGACTTCTTGGAGTAGTGGAAACAACTTCATCATAATCTGAAAGGGCTATCGCACACAATTACTACGATTGAAAGTGAACTCAGATGTCAGCACTACCTGCTCTTCCACATTTCAGGTGTCTAAACATTATGCGGTGGCATTGATTCCATTTTGTACTTTCGGCGTAATCACGCCCAACCGTACACAACTAACGGTGCAACTTGGTGGCATTGTCAACTCATGGACCAATGTGACCACAATGGGCACTACAATTGTCGGGCGTTTGACAATGCATTTGTGACCAAATTAGCCGAGTCTTTGGTTATCACACTGCCTTTTAAAGTAGCTGCAATGGTTACACTTTTATGCACTTACATAAAATAAAATGAAGAGTTTGCCGGATTTGTTTTTAGATTGGCTAAAAAGGTCTTCCAGTATTTTACACCACTTTGACCGACAAGCTCGAATACGGATCCAAGATTTGGCATTTATGCGTCACAAAATAGCCTTTGTAAAGTATTTTATTGTCCCCTCCAAAGGTTACCTTCGTGTGCATGTTACCTCCTGATGCTGCACAATTGCCTTTTATTTGAGAACAATCTAATAAGCTAGCACCGGTGCGACCCAAGGTGATAAGCCCAAGGTAGTGGCTTGAAGAATGCATTTTACAGAGGGGTGAAAACAGTTTCTGAGGTGCTATTGAGATAATATCACCACATGTACAGAGGACTATATTTACTAGTATATTTTGTCTTCCAGCACAAGGCAGCTGACATCTTAATCAATGTGTTTTATTTCATACGAAAAAACTTTCCCAGTTAAAGGCCACGATTGCAAATAACTTTGTCTGTGGCCTAGCTGGTCAACCTACAGCATTTTAAACAGGGTTTCTGTGACCAGGAATTTTTGACAACAAACAAGTGTTACAGCCTCCAAACTGTTCGCCGAGAAATTGTTTTCTATCATGTGCCAGCAACAGCTGTTGAACTTCCACATTTTGAACTAAATGGTGGTTATTTTGCTGGTTCAATGCGAGTAAGCTCACATTTCCCTAAGTTATTAAGGCTTAAAGTGGCTTTCAGCTCTCTGCGTGTTTATGCTGACGCTGAAAATTGACTTATCTCTTGAAAGGTCTATTTAACTATGCAAATCATCTTTTTGCTTTGCAATGCAGGATAGAGAGGTGCTTTTTTAGTCACAGGAAATTTTAATCGCTAATCAGAGTTGGTTTCAACTAAAAAATGCAAATGAAACAGCGAGTAATAAGGTGCAGATTAGTTGGGTAGTTCGGACGCAGTAAAGTGAAGCCCCAAAGCTGTTTTTTTTAAAAAAAACCATTTCTCACCTGCACTAGAGCTTTGTCAGCCAGGATGAATACAGCTGATTATCCATTAAACTGTGAAAACTATCCTCTCTGATCGGGTCTTCCCATATTCCGAAGATGAAAAAAATTGACCTTGGAGGCTGTCAGTGAGGCGACTCGTTTAATGGGGCAGCTGCGATTGTCCTCTCAGCAGACCGGTGTTAATATGCACTGGGGATGCCTTGAGCTCGACTGGTCATACCATTCCCATTGGCCTATCCGCACCCGATTGGACCATTGCATGTGCGCATTTTGTCCCGGGAGCACGTGCGCACCTACCGTGATGCTGCGCATGCAATGTGAAAGGCTGCAACGGCGAGCCAGTGCTTCTTCGCGATTCACTGCGACTTTATCGTAGTTCTTCCTATCAATGCATAACATTTGTATAACCTTGTAATACCCTCTACTCTGTACTGTGTTCTCATCTTCGACCAATCCTACGTTGGCTTGCATCTCCTTCATATATCAGTAGTAAATTTTTATGTAAACCTGCACAGTGAAGCCACAAAACCCTAAATAAAATATAGGGGAAGGTATTATTTGCACAGACAGCGTCACTACCAATAATGACAGAAAAACTTACACAAACTTTGAGCTCGACGTGCACATCTATAAGAACTGGTCATCTATTCTTCTTTGGACTCCTCCCGTCCATTATGTTTTCTTTTCCAAAAAAGGAGATATATGTAATTTATGCAGGATGCAGGTTGACATGAGTAATTAATGGGATGAGTAAACTGGTAAGGATGGATAATTGTAGCAAAGACTTCGTTTTGCCTAAAGTGAACATTTTTAGCATTGACAAAATTGGACACTTTATCGCCATTTTGGGAAAAGTCTGCCAGAATTTTCAGCTTGCTCTGCATCTGACAATAAGTAAAATAAGGTTTTGCTTCATATACGCCTTATTTTGTTGACAGAAAGTTTCCAACGGTACCTATTGACCATTAGAGTGTCTTTGGCGAAGCCTTGGATTTTCAGTGCGTAGGAACTCGGGCCATCCTTCAGATGAAGAGGACTACGAGTCCTTAATGATGACCAAAAAAATTGTTTTTGGCAATGTATTGTGTTGTCGGAAATTAAGCAGATAAAAAGGCTTCGTTGAACCCTCATTTTGACTACGAACCATTTCAAATGTTCTGCACTGAATAGAAGAGCTGATGCTTCCACCGCAATTTCACTGTCCTTCGCTCAATGGTGAATATGCTGAACACATCGCATTATCAAATCCCGTACATTTTTGTACATGCGACTCTTACGTCGGGTCAGAAATCGCCAACAGTGTTCACCCTCTCCCTTCTCTTTTGCATTTCTTTGTCCATTTCGCAATTACGACCTTTCTAAACCTCCATTTTATGTTATTTTTAAACACGATTGACCCGCTTTGAAAGGTTAAAGCATGGATATAGCAAAATTCAAACAATCGGTAGTAAAATGAACCAAACACAAAGCTAGGCGCGCACTATATTTCATTTTCAGCTTCGTGGACTGACCCACGACTGAGCTTTTGTTTACTCGTAGACTTTTGTGGATTCGCTTCTAAAATTGCATGCCTAATAGGAATTGATGATGTTTTAGTAACTCTTTCTGGTACCCGAGGTCGCATCCTGACTACAACGCTTTCATTGTCGCATGTAAACGTCCTTCCTTCGCCTGAAACAGCCTCTGCCACTAACAACATTCAGTCTTCCGTTGGGTCGGAAAACATCTACCACTCTCGTTCTACAATGAAAAGGCGTATCGAATTTGCTACTCCCTACCTCAATGGCAAAACCTTCCAACTCAGGTTTGTTTTTGTTGTGCACCTTTGAAGAAGCAGGCAAACTTGGAAGCAATTTTTACAGGCTGTCGCCTCTATAGCAGAGAGTGGAGTTTAGTCCCACTTTTTAGAAGATGTTAGCAATTTTTATAAGCGTTCACACCACCGATAGAGATGAAGTTGTCTGCACGACACACTGTGAGCCTATGCAAACGGTTGCATGGCCATTGAGTTGTATGCAAGCTTATTTAGGGGGCGACGTTGGTTGGGAACACTTCC